TTATATTTATATTTATATTTATATTTATATTTATATTTATATTTATATTTATATTTATATTTATATTATATTTATATTTATATTTATATTATATTTATATTTATATTTATATTTATATTTATATTTATATTTATATTATATTTATATTTATATTTATATTTATATTTATATTTATATTTATATTTATATTTATATTTATATTTATATTTATATTTATATTATATTTATATTTATATTTATATTTATATTTATATTTATATTTATATTATATTTATATTTATATTTATATTATATTTATATTTATATTTATATTTATATTTATATTTATATTTATATTTATATTTATATTTATATTTATATTTATATTTATATTTATATTTATATTTATATTTATATTTATATTTATATTTATATTTATATTTATATTTATATTTATATTATATTTATATTTATATTTATATTTATATTTATATTTATATTTATAGGAGATCCCCGAGAACAAAACAGATTATTTTAAGAGGCCTCTCAGGGCAAGACCTGCTGATGTTTAACAAATATTTTTTATGGGGTTTCAAAACTGAAAACGGCTGAAACTTAAATAATGTATTTTTTAACATATTTTTCAAAGGACATTCAGTTCTATAAACGTGGATTTTTAAACATATTTTTCAAAGGACATTCAGTTCTAAAAACGTGGATTTTTTTAAAAATATTTTTCAAAGGACATTCAGTTCTATAAACGTGGATTCTTAAAACATATTTTTTAAAGGACATTTAGGCCTATAAACATGGAAATTTTAACATATTTTTTAAAGGACATTTAGGCCTATAAACATGGATTTTTTAAACATATTTTTTAAAGGACATTTAGGCCTATAAACATGGAATTTTTAAACATATTTTTTTAAAGGACATTTAGGCCTATAAACATGGATTTTTTTTTAAATATTTTTCAAAGGACATTCAGTTCTATAAACGTGGATTTTTTTTTAAAATATTTTTCAAAGGACATTCAGTTCTATAAACCTAGATTTTTTTTAAATATTTTTCAAAGGATTACCTATAAACTGCATCTCATACAGATGCATGTTCATTTTGCATTACCTCCAATTCATTGCCGTTATTTGTTGTCATTTACCTTCCTGATTGTCCTTTGATCCCCCCAACCACATTATTATCCCAGTAACGGGAAAACCCCAAAAACCAAAATTATGTTCACACTCCACACACAGCAAATGGACAAATCCAGCATTTATGGCAATGTATTTTATTGGTCAAATTTAAGCATTTCTAATTTAAATCCTAATGAAACATGTACGCCGTAAATGCAAACACCCACACACACACGCGCGAGCGAAGGACCATTGAAATGTATTTTGGGTTTTGTAAAATAAATGTAAAGTCTTTTAAAATTTGAGTGGCTCTTTTATGGCAATTGAATTATGGCAAATCATGTAAATTCAATTGTGGACGAGTGGAACGTGGTCGGGTTAAAACGGGTTAGAGAGGATGAGGGGAAGTGTGGTAGTGGAGGAGAGGGAGTGTTCGCCATGGTTTAACTATCTGCCAGCAAAGTCTATAAATCACAACTAATGGCATACATTTAGGCATTAGCGACAAATAATATATTGTAGTGTTATTTTTGCGGGAGGGAGGGGGTAAATTTATGAGTTATTTGTTTTATGTAAACAATTTTTACAATATATTATTACGGCATGCTTTTAGGCGTTTGTCATGTTGGTGAAAAAAATATGAGTTATATATGTAATGGAAAAATATAACATTTTGATGGCGGGCATCAAAAAATATTATTTTAAAAAATTTGCGCTTGTGTATAGTCCTTGCAAAAATATTATTTGTGAAAGGTCCTTGAAAAATATTTTTAAAAAATCCACGTTGAAAGGTCCTTGAAAAATTATTTTTAAAAAATGCACGTTTGTGAAAGGTCCTTGAAAAATTATTTTTAAAAAATGCACGTTTGTGAAAGGTCCTTGGAAAAATATTTTAGTAAAACTCACACGTATTTATGGTCCTGTCAAACATATTTTTCAAAAATCCATATTTGTCGAAGGTCCTAGGAAAAATAATTTTAAAACATCTACGTCTGTGGAAGATTCTAGAAAAAATAATTTTAAAACATCTACGTCTGTGGAAGATTCTAGAAAAAATAATTTTAAAACATCTACGTCTGTGGAAGATTCTAGAAAAATATATTTTTAAAAATCCACGTTCGTCGAAGGTCCTTGAAAAAATAATTTTAAAAATCCACGTCAGTCAATGGTCCCTTAAAATATGTAAAAAACACACGTTTATCAATAGTCCTTGAAAAAATATTTTTAAAAAATCCACATTTGTCAATGGTCCCTTAAAATATGTAAAAAACACACGTTTATCAATAGTCCTTGAAAAAATATTTTTAAAAAATCCACATTTGTCAATGGTCCCTTAAAATATGTAAAAAACACACGTTTATCAATGGTCCTTGAAAAAATATTTTTAAAAAATCCACATTTGTCAAAGGTCCTTGAAAAAATTATTTTAAAAAATTCACATTTGTCAATGATCCTTGAAAAAAATAATTTTAAAAAATCCACATTTGTCAAAGGTCCTTGAAAAAATAATTTTAAAAAATCCACGTTTGTCAAAGGTCATTGAAAAAATATTTTTTAAAATATCCACGTTTATTTATGGTCCTTGAAAACATATTTTTAAAAAATCCACGTTAAATTATGGTCCTTGAAAACATATTTTTAAAAAATCCACGTTAAATTATGGTCCATAAAAAATATTTTTTAAAAATCCACGTTAATTTGAGGTTCTTAAAAAAATATTTAAAAAAATCCACGTTAATTTGTGGTTCTTAAAAAAATATTTAAAAAAATCCACGTAATTTGTGGTTCTTCAAAAAATATTAAAAAAAAAAACACGTTTATTTTTGGCTCTTGAAAAAATATTTTTTAAAAAATCCACGTTAATTTGTGGTTCTTAAAAAATATTTAAAAAAAATCCACGTAATTTGTGGTTCTTCAAAAAATATTTAAAAAAAACACGTTTATTTTTGGTTCTTGAAAAAATATTTTTAAAAAATCCACGTTTGAGAAATGTTCTTGAAAAAATATTTTTAAAAAATCTACGTTAATTGATGATCCTTCAAAAAATATTGTTATAAAAATCCATGTTAATTTATAGTCCTTAAAAAAATATTCAGAAAATGTTTTTAAAAAATCCACGTTTGAGAAATGTTCTTGAAAAAATATTTTTAAAAAATCTACGTTAATTGATGATCCTTCAAAAAATATTGTTATAAAAATCCATGTTAATTTATAGTCCTTAAAAAAATATTCAGAAAATGTTTTTAAAAAATCCACGTTTGCCAATAGCCTTCAGAAAATATTTTTAAAAAATCCACGTTTGCCAATAGCCTTCAGAAAATATTTTTAAAAAATCCACGTTTGCCAATAGCCTTCAGAAAATATTTTTAAAAAATCCACGTTTGCCAATAGCCTTCAGAAAATATTTTTAAAAAATCCACGTTTGCCAATAGCCTTCAGAAAATATTTTTAAAAAATCCACGTTTGCCAATAGCCTTCAGAAAATATTTTTAAAAAATCCACGTTTGCCAATAGCCTTCAGAAAATATTTTTAAAAAATCCACGTTTGCCAATAGCCTTCAGAAAATATTTTTAAAAAATCCACGTTTGTCCATAGTCTTGAGAAAATATTTTTAAAAAATCCACGTTTGTCCATAGTCTTGAGAAAATATTTTTAAAGAATCCACGTTTGTTCATAGTCTTGAGAAAATATTTTTAAAAAATCCACGTTTGTCCATAGTCTCGAGAAAATATTTTTAAAAAATCCACGTTTGTCCATAGTCTTAAGAAAATATTTTTAAAAAATCCACGCTTGTCAATAGTCTTCAGAAAATAGTTTTAAAAATCCACGTTTATTGGTGGTCCTTGAAAAAATATTTTTAAAAAATCCACGTTGGTGAAAGGTCCTTGGAAAAATATTTTTAAAAAATCCAAGTTGGTGAGAGGTTCTTGGAAAAGTATTTGTAAAAAATCCACGTTGGTGAAAGGTCCTTGGAAAAATATTTTTAAAAAATCCACGTTGGTGAGAGGTCCTTGGAAAAGTATTTGTAAAAAATCCACGTTGGTGAAAGGTCCTTGGAAAAATATTTTTAAAAAATCCACGTTGGTGAAAGGTCCTTGGGAAAATATTTGTAAAAAATCCACGTTAGTGAAAGGTCCTTAAAAACATTTTTTAAAAAATCCACGCTTGTCAAAGGTCCTTACAAATATTTTTTTAAAAAATCCACGTTAATTTGTGGTCCTTAAAAAATATATTTGTTAATTTGTGAGTTAAAAAAAAATATTTTTTAAAAAATCCACGTTAATTTGTGAGTTAAAAAAAATATTTTTTAAAAAATTAACGTTAGTGAAAGATCCTTGAAAAAATATTTAAAAAAAAATCAGGTTGGTGAAAGGTCCTTGGAAAAATATTTTTAAAAAATCAACGTTGGTGAAAGGTCCTTGGAAAAATATTTTTAAAAAAATCCACATTTGTGACAGATGCTTGAAAAAAATATTTAAAAAAAAATCCACGTTTGTCAAAAGTCTTCAGAAAAAATTTAAAAAAAATCCAAGTTGGTGAAAGGTCCTTGAAAAATTATTTTTTTAAAAATCCACGTTTTTTTGGTCCTTGAAAAAAATGTTTTAAAAAAATCCATGTTTGGGAAGGTCCTTGAAAAAATAATTTTAGGAAATCCACGTTTGAGAAAGGTCCTTAAAAATATAATTTTAAAAAATCCACTTTTATTTTTGGTCCCTGAAAAATAATTTTTAAAAAAATGTTTAAGGATGGTCCATGAAAAATATTTTTATTTGCCCTTTTCTCGACCCTAAAACTATGCTACACAAAATATAAACCTTTTAATGAACGCTTTTAAGTTTGCATAAAAACTAGTAATTTAATTTGTAATTTTTGTTCTTCCTTTTCAGAGAGGGAAAGAAAAAGGCAACACCAACAACAACAACATGAAACCACTAAAACAAGATTTAGTCTCCATTCAGATGTTCTATTCAATTTTTGGTTTTTGGCTTAGTCAGCAAGAAAAGTGACAACACTTGGGAGATGACTTGGTCGGTTGGTGGGTTGGCTGGCTAGATGGCTGGAAAGGCCGGTTGACCAGAAAAAAAAAAAACCAACAGAGAGAAACTACTAAAGTGACATCTAGCAAAACCACTAAAATGTGGGCAAGGAGAGGCAGAAAAAAGTGACATGGGAGGAAGAATCATCCTTGGTAATTTGGCTAGATGTCTATGTTGCCGTAAAACAAAATTTCCAAAAACAAAACGGATAACAGGAGGAAACAACAGCATTTTGTGGCCACAAATACAAATTATTGAAAAATAATAACATCAAAAGGCAGAAATGAGAAGAGACAGATCAGGCTGGAAATTCCGTATAAATTTACTACACAATATTAAAGCCAAGAATAGAATTTTATATCTCCCCCATCCATATCCCGTAAGTATTGAAAAGCTCTTATTGAATAATTCCCATATCCCTTTAGTGGCATAATAATACCGCGTTTCTGCCAATATTCTATTTTTAATTATTTGCCAACATATTATCACGTAATTTTTACGGTAGCGGGCCAACAAGAGAAAGGGCGAAGTAGGGGAAGGAGAGAGAGCGCTCCGTTACCAGGAAAGAAATTGAAACATAATAATAACAATAATTTCCCTTTAGTACCGCACCATTGCCATTACAAACCTAACCACGAAAATTAATTAAATTCATAAACGTTAAAGCGTTGGCGTTGCGGTAATGATGGCAATGATGTTGCCAGTTGATATCCATTTTCCTGCCATCCACCTCATGGCAATACGGATAGTTTTTTATTTCCCTCCTCTTCACAACCTGATAGAAACAAATATCCTTGTTTGGAGAGGGAGAGAGAGAAAAAATGGATGGATGGGCATGTGAGCGTTATATCTATTTAAGGGACTTGAAGTGTAAAGAATTATTTTCAAGGACCCTTGAGCTGAAATGTTTGGTTTTGGTTTTATTGAAAAAATATTTTTAAAAAATCCACGTTTGATAGTGGTCTTTGAAAAAATATTTTTAAAAATCCACATTTGATAGTGGTCTTTGAAAATATATTTTTAAAAAATCCACGTTTGCCAATGGTCCTTGAAAAAATATTTTTAAAAAAAATCCACGTTTGTCAATGGTCTTTGAAAAAATATTTTTAAAAATGGTCAATGGTCCTTGGACAAATATTTTTAAAAAATCCAGGTTTGTCAATGGTCCTTGGACAAATATTTTTAAAAAATCCACGTTTGTCAATGGTCCTTGGAAAAATATTTTTAAAAAATCCACATTTGTCAATGGTCTCTGGAAAAATATTTTTAAAAAATCAACGTTTGATAGTGGTCCTCGGAAAAATATTTTTAAAAAATCCACGTTGGTCAATGGTCCTTGGAAAAATATTTTTAAAAAATCCACGTTGGTCAATGTTCCTTGGAAAAATATTTTTAAAAAATCCACGTTTGATAGTGGTCCTTGGAAAATTAATTTTAAAAAATCTACGTTTGTCAATGGTCCTTGGAAAATTAATTTTAAAAAATCCACGTTTGTCCACGTTAGTCAACGGTCCTTGGAAAAATATTTTTTAAAATTCCACGTTTGATAGTGGTCCTTGGAAAAATATTTTTTAAAATTCCACGTTTGATAGTGGTCCTTGGAAAAATATTTTTTAAAAATCCACGTTTGATAGTGGTCCTTGGAAAAATATTTTTTAAAATTCCACGTTTGATAGTGGTCCTTGGAAAAATATTTTTTAAAAATCCACGTTTGATAGTGGTTCTTGGAAAAATATTTTTTAAAAATCCACGTTTGATAGTGGTCCTTGGAAAAATATTTTTAAAAAATCCACGTTTATTTTCCAAGGACCATTAACAAGGTCCTTGGAAAATAATTTTTTAGAAATCCAGGTTTGTCAATGGTCCTTGGAAAAATATTTTTTTAGAAATCCAGGTTTGTCAATGGTCCTTGGAAAAATATTTTTTTAGAAATCCAGGTTTGTCAATGGTCCTTGGAAAAATATTTTTTTAAAAATCCAGGTTTGTCAATGGTCTTTGGAAAAATATTTTTAAAAAATCCACGTTTGTCAACGGACCTTGGAAAAATATTTTTAAAAAATCCACGTTTTTCAATGGTCCTTGGAAAAATATTTTTAAAAAATCCACGTTTAATAGTGGTCCTTGGAAAAATATTTTTTTAAAAATCCATTTTTGATAGTGGTCCTTGGAAAAATATTTTTAAAAAATCCACGTTTAATGGTGGTCCTTGGAAAAATATTTTTTTAAAAATCAACGTTTGATAGTGGTCCTCGGAAAAATATTTTTAAAAAATCCACGTTGGTCAATGGTCCTTGGAAAAATATTTTTAAAAAATCCACGTTGGTCAATGTTCCTTGGAAAAATATTTTTTTAAAAATCAACGTTTGATAGTGGTCCTCGGAAAAATATTTTTAAAAAATCCACGTTGGTCAATGGTCCTTGGAAAAATATTTTTAAAAAATCCACGTTGGTCAATGTTCCTTGGAAAAATATTTTTAAAAAATCCACGTTTGATAGTGGTCCTTGGAAAATTAATTTTAAAAAATCTACGTTTGTCAATGGTCCTTGGAAAATTAATTTTAAAAAATCCACGTTTGTCAGTGGTCCTTGGAAAATTAATTTTAAAATATTCACGTTAGTCAACGGTCCTTGGAAAAATATTTTTAAAAAATCCACGTTTGTCAATGGTCCTTGGAAAAATATTTTTAAAAAATCCACGTTTGTCAATGGTCCTTGGAAAAATATTTTTAAAAAATCCACGTTTAATAGTGGTTCCTGCAAAAAAAAATTTTTAAAAATCCACGTTTGATAGTGGTCCTTGGAAAAATATTTTCAAAAAATCCACGTTTGCCAATGGTCCTTGGAAAAATATTTTCAAAAAATCCACGTTTGCCAATGGTCCTTGGAAAAATATTTTTAAAAAATCCACGTCTGTCGACGGTGATTGGAAAAATATTTTTAAAAAATTCACGTTTATCGAAGGTCCTTAAAAATGTTTTAAAAAAATCCACGTTTGTCGAAGGTCCTTAAAAATATTTTTAAAAAAATCCACGTTTGTCGAAGATCCTTAAAAAATATTCTTTAAAAATCCACGTTTGTCAATGGTCCTTGGAAATTTTTTTTTAATAATCCACGTTTGTCAATGGGTCTTGGAAAAATATTTTTAAAAAATCCACAAACGAAGGTCTTTGGATTCTTCTTTTTTAAATCCACGTAACCTTTAAAATAAAATTTAAATTTACTACGACTTAATTTCCCCTCTTTTAATAACAAAATTTCCATTCACTTAATTTGCAGCCTTAAATGAAAAATAGCTCTGCTCCTAACCCCAACTTAAAAAAGGGGTTTATATTTGTAACATTTATTCCCCACGCAGAAAATAAAACATTTCCCAAAAAAACAACACATTCTTGATGAATTGTGCACCCTTCATTGTTTTACATTTTAAGCTATGCAATCACATATTTTCATCCCTCCCTCAGCTCCTTCCACCCTCCATTCTATCATCTCATTTCCAAAAAAAATCTCCCTTAGATAAAAAAGCCAGAACATCATTAATTTGAACTTGTCGGCCTTGGTGAAGTGGCCATATAATGCCTCAGCGATTCTTCAAGTGACCACATCGCCCAGAAAACAAATTAGTCCTTGGACTGTTATTTCCATTGTTGCTGTTGCTCTTTTTTTTTTTCTAAACATTTTAATAGTCAGTTTGTGCTGAAATGTGAAACTTTGGACAAGTGAAGGCAGTTCTCCAAATGCTCCCAGCCATCCAAGCTGAAACATCATTCATTATTAGTAGCGGCAGTAGCTTTTGCCAAAAACAAGAAACAACGGACAACAAATTTCGGCTAAATGTGCAAAATTTTGGCGGTTGATTGCCAACAATGGCAGGCCCCCATACCCTTCGCAGCTTTTCTCATGCCCACCAAAATTTCGATGGGAACGCAAATGCATGCCATTAGATGCATTATTTTTCGCAGCACACCACATTCGCGAGAGCCCAGGATCCAAGTCCACGCACCAAATTGCATTTAGGCAACAGAGAGGGAGATATGCTGTTATTAAACCTTATTGCGGAACCTACACACTTTATGGGTGTTCATATCTAGGCAATGCTCGAACGAACGAGCACACATATGAAACTTTATGAAGATGGAATGCCAAAACTCATCAATTTATTATTTAGGATGATGGATCCAGAAAATTAAAAAAATCTACTCTGAATGCAAGAGCCTTTAGAAAACAAATTTAATTGGTCTGAAGGTCCTTTGAAAAATTTAGTTAAAAAAATCCACGTTTATTGGTGTGAAGGTCCTTTGAAAAATTTAGTTAAAAAAATCCACGTTTATTGGTGTGAAGGTCCTTTGAAAAATTTAGTTAAAAAAATCCACGTTTATTGGTGTGAAGGTCCTTTGAAAAATTTAGTTAAAAAAATCCGCGTTTATTGGTGTGAAGGTCCATTGAAAAATTTAGTTAAAAAATCCACGTTTATTGGTGTGAAGGTCCTTTGAAAAATTTACTTTAAAAAATCCACGCTTATTGATCCGAAGGGGCTTTGAAAAATTTACTTTAAAAAATCCACGTTTATTGATCTAAAGGTCCTTTGAAAAATTTAGTTAAAAAAATCCACGTTTATTGGTATGAAGGTCCTTTGAAAAATTTAGTTAAAAAAATCCACGTTTAATGATGTGAAGGTCCTTTGAAAAATTTACTTTAAAAAATCCACGTTTAATGATGTGAAGGTCCTTTGAAAAATTTATTTTGAAAATCCACGTTTAATGGTCTGCAGGTCCTTTGAAAAATTTAGTTAAAAAAATCCACGTTTATTTAATTTAGTTAAAAAAATCCATGTTTCTTGGTCTGAAGGTCCTTTGAAAAATTTACTTTAAAAAATCCACGTTTCTTGGTCCTTTAAAAAATTTACTTTAAAAAATCAACGATTCTTGGATCTTCCAAAAAGTATTTTTCAAAGGACATTTGGAATTATAAATGTGGATTTTTCAAAAAGTATTTTTCAAAGGACATTCGGAGCTGTAAACGTGGATTTTTCAAAGGATATTCGGAGTTACAAACGTGGATTTTTTAAGAATATTCTGAGTTACAAACGTGGATTTTTAAAGAATATTTTTCAAAGGATATTCGGAGTTACAAAAGTGGATTTTTAAAGAATATTTTTAAAAGGATATTCTTAACTACAAACGTTAATTTTTAAAGAATATTTTTAAAAGGATATTCGGTGTTACTAACGTGGATTTTTAAAGAATATTTTTCAAAGGATATTCTGAGCTACAAACGTGGATTTTTAAAGAATATTTTTCAAAGGATATTCTGAGCTACAAACCTGAATTTTTAAAGAATATTTTTCAAAGGATATTTGGACCGACAAATGTGGATTTTTAA